GTGATACAAAAATTCTCGGATATGTGTCCTCATTCAATAAATTTTTTACATAAATTTTTGTACATAACGCAAGAAAAACTCAAGTGATGACAGATCCAAAAAAAAACTGGTTCTTTAATTTCTCTAAAAGATTTTGATTTGTATGAAACACTCTGCCAAATACTAGAACGTGACTATAACAATGCATTCATCACTTTTTTTTCCTATTTTTGTGCTCATTGTCTCATGTTTTGGTTTTTTTGAACTTCTCCAATATATAGTTCTTCATTTTGAGGATCTTCATTTTTAGGATCGATTGTTGCGAAATATTCCACATTCTTCAACTCTTCCAATTTTACTTCCAATTCCAGCGATTAATTGGGATATTTTTGTTTGGAAACCGTTGTTATTATCGTTATAACCGATGTTATTATCGTTATGCTGTTATTATCATTGTTATTATCGTTATACGCTGATCTTTGTTGTGAATATTGAAAAGATACTGTGCTTGACCTATATTGTGGCCTTTGGATTTTTATTTGTACAGTTCCATGATATGTATTCCATAGGTAACGATTATATAACTCATCATAATAGAAGTCTATTAATTTTTTTTCTACTCAACCGCTAAGTGAACATGCTCCTCTAATTTTATTTTTTAAAATTTTCTATCTTTATTTTTTGATTTTTAAAATCTTGAATCACCATCTGTTTTATTAATCGTTTAATCTTCTGACCAATCTATTATTGTTGTTCTTATTATCACTATTAGCAGCATTGTGATTATTATCATGATCATTGTTTTAATTTTGTTTCGATAAACTCCTTTTTTAACTATAAATACCACCGTTTATATAGATATATATCTATATTTTAAATCGTTAGATAGGAAATGAACAATGTAGCATCCATCACGGTTATTTGGATGGACAAAGTCGATCTGATGTCCATTTGTAAGTGAATTTTCTAGCAGTTATGTACTTATAAAAAATCTGCGAAGGGATGGCATGTGTCAAACTTATTCCAATAGTGCACTTTGTGCAGTAGATATAGTAGTGGACGTAGTGGACGTAGTTGACGTAGTAGATGTAGTGGACGTAGTGGACGTAGTGGACGTGGTGAACATGGTGAACGTTGTAGGTGTAGTGGATATAGTAGGCGTAATACAATAGATGTGGTAGATGTAGATGCAGGTGTGGCAGATGTGGTGAATATTGTAGATATATTGTAGATAATGTAGGTATATTGTAGGTGTAGGTGTGGCAGATGTGGTAGCTGTTGTAGATCAAAATGACATTATAAACTAGTTCTTTCTTAACTAACATTGTTACTGTATAAAGTTTTTCGATGCCATTATATTTAGCAAAAATGATTGTTTCTTTGAGATATTTTTTAGGAGGCAAGTTGTTGAGTGTATCGCGAGCTTTGCAGAATTAATTATGTTTTGTAAGATTAAAACAGTTGCTCAAAACAAAGCGTGCCATACTTTCTAATAACAAGTTTAGTTGGTTCGACTTGTTCATTCATTGATCAAGTCAAGTCTTTGAGTAAGGCCTATTATTTATAGTTATCTGTTATCAATATATACGAAAATAAATTATAGATTAGATCTAATATTAGTTCTTTTTGATCAGGTATATTAAACTTATACTCAATATCTATAATATATTCGTTTACCTGCAAAATATTAGCCCGATGTACTGAATCAATTAGAGAATATAAATAGTTTTTTTTTAGTTTTATGAACGATTGTGAGAATTCTGTACATCCATGTTACATTCTATAAATTAGATTTTGATTCGATATTAACTGCTGTAAATTAAAAAGTAGATAATTAGGATAAATATTTTCTATTTGTTTTATTAATTTGTCGGTTTTGTTTTCAAATGTGCTCACTTTATCATACTAATACTCAGGCATTAAATGTGATGCATCGATTTTGTTCTTAGCCATTAAATGTGACGCTTCGATAATTTCTCTCAGGCATTAAATGTGACCATTGATTGTATTTCATCGATTGATTCTAAATCATTCTTGAGTGTATAATTTGTTTTAAAGCAAAAAAAAAATCATTGAGAAATTGAAATTGTTATGAATATAATTTGAAGTACAACAGTAAGAAAACCTAATATAGGTAAGACAACTCACCAAAGGCGCGACTGTGATCGTTTAGTTTATCCAGGATATATTGTATATAAGAAAGAGATTATCTTAGGTATGTGCCTCTACTTTATAGATAAGTGTTATAACCAACCTCACCCAAGTTACATCCTTTAAATAATTTTTAACAAGCTAAGAAAAAGGCTTAAGTGTCTGAAATTATACTACTGCATATCGATATATTGATACTCACCTTTCGCAATAACCTTCGGCTGACAAGCCTCATGCGCCATCCAAGCCTTCAAGGGTAATTTAGCGCGTGTGCGCGTTGTAACGCACCCACCTGATCAACCAATCAGATTGTAAAAACAATTCTAAAAAATCGCTTATAGCTCAAAGTTTTTGCTTATGAAACCACCTTTCGCGTTCTAATAAAAAAAAAAAATTCCTTGCAAATTTTGGTGCACGCAAAGAATTCTGTGCCATTTTTATCGATCACGATCGAAAAGATTGATGTTAACTTAATCTACCTCTCAAAAGATTGGGTCAACGATCAATTAATAACTATAATGATAAATTCTAAAAACGCCCGTAACTCGCCCATAAAAAAATTTCCGAAACGTGATTTTTAGCCAATTAGATCGAAGGATCATTTTTGTTTTTCAAAAAATCGCTAATAACACGAAATTTTGTCTGCGTTCTAAAAATCCTTGCGAAATTTTGATATAAACTTTGTCCCCTCTCTTGGCCTTAATCCTACCTCAAAGATGACTTTTTTGTTTAAATCTTTTGCTTAATTCGATTGTTTTGATTTTACACCTGATCCTTCGATCTAATTGACTCCAGTAAAAGTTTGATGGATGTGTGCGCAGTAATACTACTTATGGTATGTAATGCGACCAATCTATATCGATATCATATCAAATCACGTCTATTTTTCATCGTGACAATTAATAATGTATAACTTTAGTATTTGAAAGCACTAGGTAACTTACAATCCACAGAAGGTCATTTTCTCGAACCATAACACACGGAAAAATTCTTCCGTCATCCGAAATGAAAGCAAGGTGATGTTCTTAAAAGATTTGCAATCTATAAAAAATAAACTAGGCCTGAGGAATAAATATATAAATCTTATTAATGAACATGAATTTTTAGTTTCCCGAAATCCTCAAGTTAACTGAAGAAAAACTTACGCAGACTTCACAACTAAGGCCAACAAGAAATATGGTTTAAACAAGTATGGAATTACTGGAATTAATGACTTTTCACCTTTCAAACCAGGTAAATTTGTAATAGAAAATCTTAGTCTAGGAATTCAGTAAGGCTAACTATTTTTTCCTTAGAAATGGTGGAGATCGAAAACAGTAACATAAATTTCCAACGGTGTTCACTTTGCAAAAACATTTTATTAATTTTTTTGGTATAAAAGGTAGAAATACATTAGCAAGTGCACTTTGCAAGAACATTACATTTAAGTATTTAGATTTGTACAATGTTAATCTTGGACCAAACGGAAGTAAAATTCTAAGTGATGCACTTGACAATAATACCTAGATAATATTAAATGTAGGATAGATAATATGGTCTTTTAAGTGGTTATACTCTTTTATTATCAAAACTAATCTTAAAACCTAATCTAACTATTAAAAAAAAGCTAAAAAAATATATTCCAAAAATTTCTAAAAATTTCATATTAAAGTAATTAAAATTTCAAGCTTCAGCTATTTCAAACTTTAGCTACAACATAGTTCTTTTCTAATAAATTCGGCACTAATTTAAGTAACTTGCATGAAAATTATGATGTATAGCGATTAACATCTGATAAGTCTGTAAGTCATTTAAAGAAATTTTACGTAATTTTGTAAGCATAAGTTCTGCGCGAAAATGAAAAATCCGAAAATAAGATAAACTAATTTTGTAACGAATAAATATCATTGGGGTTTAAACTAAATTAATACATTATAGTGAAATATAACCTATTAGCCTATTACGAATTGAAATTTCAGCCATTGAAATAAAGTTTTGTCAATACACTTTTATTTCATTCAATAAATTCCAGATCAAAAAATAATAACTAAACCTTTTACTTCGAATGTTGTATGTAAGATCCTCTTCTAGAAGTTGTGATCGATAATCTATTTTTAATATGCCCATGTTAGAAGACTAATATTTTAAACATATACTGTATAGTTATATACACATCCCTACAATAAATTACTGGAAAACTCATTTTTTTTATTAATAACATATATTAAAAACGAAAATTTATGCTTCATATAAAAATTTTAATTTATTAATAATCTATCTTTATTTTTACCTATTTAAAGTTAATTAGTTACGCTTTTAAAAATGATTTTTTTTGAATTTTTAAAAAATTTTTATAAGAAAATGTTCTAATCGAGAAGTTATCCCTAAAAATTTTCATATGTATATGTATATTTTATATTTATAAATTTTCAGAGCAATTTCTTGATTAGAAAATCTCTTTATAAAAAATTTCTAAAAAATCATTTTTAAAAGCGTAACTAATAAGCTTTAAATAGGTATAAAAAAAAAATAATAATAATAAAGTTTATTAAAAAAATTAAACCCTTTTATATGAAGTATAAATTTTCATTTTTAATATACAGTATTTTATTAATAAAAAAAAAATAAGATCATCCAGTAATTTATTATAGAAGTGTAAACTGTAACTTACCAAGGTTTCCTCTAGAGATACCTCATCTATCACTAATGGCAATGGACTGCTTATATAACTTGTCTTGGGATTCTTGTTTTCATCATCAAATAAGGTATGATAAAATTTGTGTTTTTTATCTGCATCAGTCATCTGCTGTGTTCTCCATTTACACGGCTCCCAGCACCATTTAGCCACTTGGTTTTTTATTTCTTTTGCTGTTGGTCTTTTTAGTGGGTCATCATCCCAGCAATTTTGCATTAACTGAAGGTAAAAAGGCAATGTATTTGGGCAAGGTTGTGGGCGTAATCCTTTGCAAATCTCTGTTGCTAATTGAATGTCATGAGGTCTGGATTCAAATGGTCGTCTTCCGCTTATTAGTTCCCACATAATAATTCCAATGCTATACACGTCTGATTTTGTAGAATAACACTCTCCACGAAGTACTTCCGGAGCTATATAAGGCATTACACCATAAACTTTCAATGTACTACGATGACTAATGCTGGATGCCATTGAAAGGCCAAAATCTGCAATATATGCCACTCCGGTGTGTATGGGAATCTCACAGAGTAAATGATCGACTTCTCGTGTATGCAATATGTTACCAGGATGAATGTCACGATGAATGAGTCCGGCCTTATGTATTCGCTCTAAATCCAAACTAATATCCCATATTATAAATAATCTATCTATCCATGATAAAGTAGTCATATTATTGCATATGTATTGGCGTAAATCACCACTTTCTGCATATGTAGTTATAATATAGTATTGCATAGCTGAGTCTTGTGTAAACCCCAGAATGCGGAAAGAGCTTGATTCCTTGCAGGGACCCGTAAAAATTTTGTGTTATACAAAATCTTTATTTGCGTTATTGCAAAAATTTGGATTAATTTGTAATAAGATTTAAATTTTATAT